TCAGAACCAACTGAAGCTGCACCACCTGCTGAACCCTCGGTGCCTATTGAAGCTGCAGAGCCGGTAATAGACACAGAGATTGCTGCTGCACTATCCCAGAGATGCCAGCGTTACCTTCTGTCAGAGATGAGACAAAGCTGAGCCACAGCCTGTGCCGAGAGCGACAGAACCTACTCCAGCTCCTGCTCCAGCAGAGGCACCGGCACCGCAGAGGATGCCCTGCTCCAGCTTTAGGAGTTGAACCTGCTGCTACTGAGCCGGTCCAGAATGCAGAGGTTCCAGCTCCTGCTCCAGCTGCTTCAGAACCCCTTCTGGGTAACCTCAGAAGTCCACCAGGCCTGTGTCACCCAGAGTCCACTGCAGACAGTGTAGCAGCAGTGGAGGTCCTGTGGTTGAGCCCACCCTACAGAAACTGAAGCACCTTCAGCACCAGCCCATCTACCGATCCAGCTCCTGAAGATTCACCAGGTGGTATGGACCATTAATGGCTCCAGATTACCTTTCTTACTTACCTTTTTTCTTACTTGTCAAAACAGATTTTTGGCACAGTTTTGGCACAGTTCATACTCTGCAATTTGCCACGGCCACATGCCCTGCAGAGTAAAACTAATAAGAGCTGAAGGATTACAACTGGGTTTTAGAGGATGATAGCTGCCACTGAGCCTCTTGAGGGAGTTTATAATGACAGGTTTTCTTGTTGATTTATTTACTTGACTAAACACAGAGTTGTTTCACTGATTAACCTGTCACGCTAAATTCACGTCAACCCATCATCCTGATGTTGGAGACAGTTTTTGGGTGGAGTCAGGCGCAGCAGCATTATTGCCGGTTGAATAGCTGCAGAACTCTATGCAAACATTGTGATAGATGCTGAGCATGTAGGAACAAGCTCAGAGGGGGATGAAAAGCTGAGCAGAAACAACCTGGTATGAGTAACAAATGGACAAGAGTATGTTTGCATCCAAGTAAACAATTAACGGTCTGTCAGGTGGTCAACACCAATCTATCTTGTTGCAACACATTCGGCCAAAGCAAGAGACTTCTGGTAATTAAACACACATATGGTTATAACCCCAACTCTCCATATTCTAATCAACCGTCACACACTCCTCTGTGTACTAATTGACTGCTTGGAGCTGACAGGATCAGCGGCTATTGTTGGGCTGTGAGGCGAACAATAGTGCAGTGTGAGAAACAGAAAGCACACACACTCAGAAGAGAATGAAGGCTCGTCTTGAGAGTGTCAATTATTGCACAACAGTCCAGTCAGGCAACTCTCACTCATTGTGCTCTGTTATGCACTGTCTACAGACCGATCATGCCCTGCTGCTTTCATTATACGACTATTAAACACACTGAAGTTCATCCTGCAAATTTGTGAAGAAAAATCATTTTAAGGGCTCATTTGAAAGAAAAATTGAGTCAACTTGATTTTGAATGCACGGTGATTTGCTCACTCTAACAAGCGGATTTTATACCTATACATTCATTACAATGTGCAGTGACTGATTAAAACTTCAGAAAGTAAGCCTTTACATCTCTACACTTTCTCTACACTTTACTGGGTAACTGCATATTAAATCATAATGTGCACCTCCAGTTGTCACCAGTGCTTTGCAAGGCCTTGCACACACATCTCTTTTTGACCTTCACCCGACTCTTATGTTCAGAGAACATGTTGTACTTTCAGGATAGAAACAAGCCTCCACGCAGCATGAGACGAATGGACTTCTGGCATGGAAGACGTGCTGTACTGCATAATTTTTATGAGAATTTTTTGCTCGAGGCTATGTACTAGTTTCTGTGTTTCACGTTTATTATCCTGGTTGGGACTTCAATCTAACTGCACATGTAAGAATGAGAGGGGCTGTAAGGACAATAAAGACAAAAAAGCTGTTTATTTAATGGTTAAGATTATTTTTAGGGTAAGACACTAAGGTATGCATTATTTCACTGAATACCTCCACAAGGATATAGAAGCAAATGTGTGTGTACATTGTAGTAACTTGTAAACGAGTTCAGAGGGACTCATGCTGTTTTGTATTGGTTATAAATTTGGCAGTTATAATCCTCAAGCCAGTCAGTTTTGACATTATCATAGTTAATGAAATGCCATGCTAATGTTTGTGTCTACATATATGCAGTGGAGTCTGCAGCGAGGTGTCTCAGGATACAGAGGGTGAGAAGCCAAAAAGGAGGACTGAGTTGGTAAGAGCACAGCCACAAACCAAACTATATCCAGTGCAAACTCTGAAGGATTAGACTTTCTCTGCAGTCAGTGCATACTTGTAAAATAGTCTCCTACAGGTGGACTGGATGCATTTTGGTAGAAAAACAGAATTAAGTTGAATTCTGTTTATACTCAGTTACAAGATAAACTTGAAGAGTGAAAGTGTGAGTCAGATGCTGAAGTGCTGACATGTTTTTTTCTTTTCCTTTTAGAGAGGAAAGAATGCAACAAAACGCCCAAGCTACCACTGTAAACCTACTGGAAGGAGGACAAGATGAAGTAACAGAAGAATAAAACAACTGATTTTCAGTTTTGTCTATCAGCACTCACCAAACACCACATTTCCTAATATTCACTGTGCCTTAAAAGCTTTCTAGAATCTTTCCCATATTGTATATAACCTTTTCAGGAGAGAACGGAGGAGTATGTGTTTTTAATGGGAATCAAGTCTTGGATCCACATACTACATGTGGCCTGTGACAAGAGGGTGCAATCCTCTGTAAAATCTGTCAACTCTTGCTAGCAACTCTTTTGAGTTTCGAATGGCAGTGTCTGAAATACAGGAAGGATACTCGTTATTTAAAGAAGCTGTTCTGAGGAATACAGCTGTGAATAAAAAAACTTAAAGACTCAAACTGACAAGAATACAAACCTGGAATGACACACACTGGCTAGGTGTACACTGTATTAGCTGTATTAACTGATTTGTAATTGGTTGAATTCTAGTTTATAATTCTGACATTAAACCATATATTTTGTTAACTGTTTGCACATTAATTGCAGCCTTTCCAAGGGGCTCATTATTCAATAGGAATGACAGTATAAGTGTTGAGTAACTCGGCACCATGTTTCAATATTTCAACATTTATTGGTTCACATTAAAGTTTTGATTTGCTTAAATGAAAGTGGGCAAAGATCACGTATGCAGAGGGTTAGCCTATATATACTTTTAAATCAGTCGTTGGCGGGTTAAGGATACAGACAGGCCATGTTGCTGTTCTGTGAAACCCTTCTGTGGTTGCTCCGTAGCTGGTGGGTGTTGTGAACTCTCTTTCTTAAAGTAATAACCTTCCAACAAAAGGACTTCGGGTAACACTGATGTCATACGCTTGTCAGTTTAGATTGAGGGCATTACACTGCATTGCTAGTGGGCAGAATATTGTAACTAATTAGTTCTACATGCTGAGTTTAAAAGTGTAAGGGCATTAGAAATTACTGCAACCTCATAAGAGTGATGATGCTTGGGAACAAATTTTGTTTGATCTTTTTCATTTTACTTCTCACTCCCTGTAATATATTCATTTTCTCTGACCGTGTCTATGATTCTGCTAACCTGTTAGTGTACAGAATAAAGTTTTACTCACTAATACTTTCTCTGTACTGAATTGTGACTGGAGATTATATTGGCTTTTAGTATATGGTGACCACAGTCTCTCCAGACCTCAGTGCATACTGTAGTGTGTTTAGAGAAGCATACGTACTTAAAACCACTCAAGCATAAGACATCTGAACAGTCACATACTCTGTTGCTGTATTAGAGTGTGCGCTGGGATAAAATGCGCCCTGGTCCGACTACATCCTTTAAATGAATTCAGGCTTTGCATACGAGCTGCTCGCTGCTCTTCTTTCCCCCCATACGATATTTGACTCACCTGCTGACACACTGCACCATGCATGTAATGAAGCATGTGAACACGGAGTACCAGAATGAGAAGCTAAGTCCTCTGAAAATAAATGATTTTTTGGAATATTTAATACTTAGTATGCACATGAAGACTTGAACTGCTGTTTTAAAAATCAGTTTGCGTTGTGCAGTTCCAACAGGCTGAAGGTTTTTATTTAGCCCAAGTATACTGAGTGATTCAGACACATTAATCCAACGGAGTTATCAAATCATATAGTCTTTATGGGTTGCAAGCCTGCAAATAAACAACCCATTTGCATGGTTAACCTGTTAAACAAACTCTGTTCATAGTTATTGCAGAATTGCTGAGGACTTTTAGTGTACATGAGACAATGTGAGATTACAGTGATCATCTACAGCGGTTTTCTTGACATTAAAGCAATTAAGGAAAATTAAAACTTTTTATTCAGTTATGCTCGATCATCTATCACTGGTACAAAGAGAGAGGATACACTGTCATGATGACAACACAGGACGGTAGTGTAATCCAATCCAACAAACAAGCTTAGGTACTTCTCAGCTATGTAAGTGAATGTGAGCAGAGTGGATTTAAAATGCAGTGCTGTCTTCAAATACATTTCATCATTGTCAGTGAGGGAGGAAAGTGCTCCACACTGATGCTGTTAGTCTGCTAGGTGACCTGTGCATGTTAAACAGCGCTATCGCTGATGATACTAGACTATAATTACATCAGTTTCACACTTTTCAGTGGTTTTAGCTCTTTCTAGTTTTGCTTGTTTAATGTACTTGTTAGGAAGTGTCGGTCAGAGGGCCCAAAACAGCAATTGCTTCAATTTCAACCAGTCCACCCTGGAGAAAGAGACGCTCAGTACGGTGAGAATTGTGGTTTTCTGTTGGGTTCAAAGCACAAAAGAATAACTGCATAAAAGTCTTTGTCAAGTTACTCACTCGAGGGAGAGCACGACCTGATAGCAGCCCTGCTGGAAGTTGTGCTAAAGACTAAAGAAAGCAGCTGAGTTAGGCCACCAACACATTACACATACAGACTTTCAATGACTCACAGATACAGAATCTACAGAAGCTTACAGGACTGCAAAGCAGCCAATTAACTACTGGTACTGGCATTTATAGTGTTGTCCTTGTCTGACATGCCTTTATATCAACAAGCAAGCTCTTTATAGTGACTGCAGAGTAGGAAAACACAGGGTGCGAGTACACAAATCAGGGCTCTACGTCATCATCAGTCAGCTTGAACAACAGTTATTCATCTTATTAGTTACACTTTTGGATTTACATAAACCTGCAAATGCACTGAATCACTGAACATTTGTCTTGTGACATTTTAATTGCACACAATTTAACATGTTCACACATATTAGACACAATATACATCAAATATCTAAATTCAGTGTATAATTATCATATATATTCACACAGTTTCATCAGTACAAAACCAAACAACACATTATTAGATGCACAATGGGAAATGTATTACAATGAAAGCCGCAGCAATAATTAAGAACATTAATGAGTTATACAGAGTGTCCTTGATTGTGCTGGGCACGCACTACAAGTTATCTTGGTTTATCTCTCTGTTATCTGGATTCACTGAACCTAACACTCGTGTCACAAAGCTGGTTATCCACTCACTGATTAACCAAGGTTTCCGATCGAGGTATTTATTACTGATGCTATTAAAAACTTTAGACATCCTATTCTCAGAGGTCTGAGGATTTCAGTAATGGTGACGCTATTTTCTGGAGACTTGACTGGTCAGTAGGTGGTGATTTCTACCTGTGACCTCTAATATGGAAGCACAAGTTACCATGGCGATGTACCTGGTAGAAGTGACCACATTTGTGGTACAGAAAACCTGGGTTAACCCCAAAGCTACCTGGATAAGATGAGTTCCTGTTTTGTATACAGGCCTCTGCTCAGGCAGCAGAATTTATGCCATTGTTGTTCTTGTCGGTTCATGTAACAGCAGCATAGCTGCACCCAACTTCAACATAAGCCTAATCAACCAGAATAAGTGAAAACACCTGTGACTTGGTGCAGGCCTTTAAAGACAGAGGTGGACTGGAAAGAATAATCTGATTTGACTGTACTGATGTAATCACGGATAAGGACTCAACACAGAGTGCATCAACCTGGGTGCTTGGATCAGTTGATTGTAGGAGCAATACCTGAATTAACTGGCATTAGAAAAATGCCCAGCTATCTTTTCTACCATACTACTTAAACAATGAAATGGATATGGGGGCTTTGTGAATAGACTTTTTTTAAATTTAATCTATGGAATGTCAGATGTGGCAGTCTGTCGTCTGACATTTAGATTAAGATTAAGACCCGTTGGTGGGGAAGCTCAGGTTTCACTCTGCTAAGTGACTCAGCAAATGTCAGCGTTCCCTGCGAGTGTTTCTGCCCCTGTGTTTCTGAATATTTATTTCATAATTCAACTTGCTCTGGAGTTTCCACAGCATATTTAGAATATAAAGAGGCAAATTGAAGCCCTAGTTGAGTTATTGTAAAGGCCTTCTGGGTGAATACATTACTGGAAAATTAAAGAGTCTATAAAATCTGCTTGTTATGCAGCAGCGCTGTACGTCGTCTGGACTGTGCTGACACCTGGTGGCTAACGTTGTATTGCAAAATGAAAGCCAACAGCAGCAGATAACTCCAAACACATACTGATACACGTTAATGACTGAATCATTGATACTCACATTGCTTGTACACGTCATTGACACTGGTGAAGTCGTTCATATCGGCTAAGAGCACTGTGGTTTTGACAACTTCAGGAAGTAACAAGAAAAGAAAGAAAATAGTGCATGATCGGGTCTGTGGTTGAAAAGTTGAAAGAATTGTCCTGTGCACATGCAAAGAAAGGCAAGGCTCTCTCACCGTTGGTGTAACCACACCCAGCAGCCTTGAGTATTTCAGCCATATTCACCAGAGCCTGAAGAAACAGAAGTCATGTACACGATTGTGCAAAAGTAATTCTCACTTTGGGATGACTTTCAGATCCTCATTCAGCCTGTAGGAAGGGTGCGTTAGACCAGTCTTAAATTTATTCTGCAGCATTACAGAGAATTAAGGAATTAACCTGGAATTGGTCTCCCGCAGGAAAACTGGTGGGTTTTTCAAAAGGCACTATTTTTAAAAGCATTGTCACTAGATTTTCTTTTAAATAATGGACTGCATTTATTCACACTGTAGCAGCCTCCCAATGGCTTGGTTGTGAGCTCAACTCCATTGCAATTATCTCAGCAGTTAGGAATTAGGACACTACTGATATCTGGATCGCTTTCAAGTGTCGCTGTACTCCATGTTCATGAATGAATGAAAGAATGAATCAGTGATGATGGGGATTCCAGTGTCACCTGTCTGGTTTGAGCCTGAACACCACCTTCCACCAGCTGTCCACTGGCAGGGTCCATTCCCAGCTGTCCTGAAATATACATGGTTCGATCCACCACCACTGCTTGGCTGGAAAACACACACAAACATGCAAAGACAAAGACTTAGCTACTCTGGGTTTATTTCATTCACAGTGTTAAATCTTATTGTCCTTTCTGCTGATCTTTGCTAAGTAAAGATTTACTAATAATGAAGGAAGTGAGGTTAAAAAGTTGTATGTTTGCTTGACTATTACGTCACTTATCTCTCCATGTGTAGGGTTTTAATGAGGGTTGTTTTTTGATTTTATTTCCTTTGAATAATAGATTCATAAATGCATTTATGCATCTTCCCTGTTTTAATATATATACACAGCTTCTTTTCTCGATAAGAGAACACTCCTATACCTGTGAGGAGTCTTGAAGTCATTTTTCTGTGCCCCTATTAACATATGTTTGGGACTGCTTACCTGCATTTGTACAGTAACTGTAAAATTAGAAGCATCATGTCTCAGAGTGATGCTGAAATAATTCATGCATTTATTTTCTTCTAGGTGGACTATTGTAACTCATTATTATATGGATGTCCTAAAAACTACCTAAAAAGCCTTCAGTTGAGCATTGTATCAAAGTATCATATCACCCCAATAGAGCACTTTGCTCTCAGACAACTGGGATAACTGTGTTTCCTACAATGTTTCAAAGCACAGGTTTCAGCTTCCAGGCCCTTCTTCTGTGGAACCAGCTCTCTGTGCAGATGTAGCGACAGAAACCCTCTCTGCTTTAGGATTAGCTTAAACTTAAGTTAGAGCTGGATCAGGAGGTCGTTTGATTGTTTGGGTCTTCTCTGTATTATTTTAGGCTCTTTACATTTATACAATATTAAAAAAACTCGACTGGTGTCGTGATTTGACGTCATATAAATAAATTAAATGAATTTAATTAATGGCAGACTAAAGTATTGAAAAACCTCGGGCACAGTTTGCTGTTTAACATTTTAGTGGTGTGTAGAGTTTAAAGTGCAGCATCCAAAAATCTGAACTTTGCTCCCAAAAGCTCTGAGAGCATATGCTATCCCACCTCTCCCAGCAGCAATCTTATGGACGAAACAGTGAACTCAGTATAGCTGTATTACCAGATTAAGCAAAAAAAGTCGTGGTGTGTCATCAATGAATTGGCAGTCAGTGCTATTAACAGTCCAAATGTAATGTAGGTTGGTGCTGCGGCAGGTGTGTGCCAGCTGCAACTTTAACCTTAGGGCAATGATTCAAAGCTCTTCTCACCTGTACGGACCGATAGCAGCAGGAGCTTTAGCTGTGCTGATAATCCTCCTGATTAGTGCAGCCATTTCACTGGAAATCTATCGGCCCAAGTGAAAGAAGTAAGTTGTACAACAGAAGGCTGCAAGCAGAAAAAGCGCTGATGTCAGAAGGACGTCAGAGCTACTTTACCGTAAAAGACATATCACATGCGCAAACACATTTGCCTTTACAGATTTTAGTTCCAAAACTGGTCACTTCAGACATTTTAAAACTCAAGTAAGAGACAATAGTGACAACATATCACATAATCTTACGAAAACGTACCTTGGTTTTTATTGGATTTTTTTGTTGACGCGCGAATACTCTACAAAGCCCCCTGAACACGTCATATCCGGAAGCAAACAAGACCAGCACCAGCGTGAGGAAACCTCACATGGTTGCTAAACGTAAAACTAGAGGGTCCCTGCAGCTGGAACAGCGTTTCTGACACACATCACACTGGGAACCTTGAGGTAACCTTATGAAGTGTAATTCCTCTGTACGTTTGGTATAGAAATGTTTTTGCTTTGGTTTTGTTAGTTAAAACAACTCCCCAACTTTACGCCAGGTAACGTTGCTAGCAAGCCTGCGTTTTAGCTCAGCATTCAACTGTTTGGGTTAGAAGGTGCTCACATAGCGAGGTCTCAAGCGTCTTATTGTATCTTACAGAAAATGTCTGCGGCTAAAGTCAAAATGCGGGAGAAAAGATGAGAAATCAGCCCGCCAGTGTGCAGTATCCATCTTCTTCATCTAACGTGGAGAGCAGCACACAGAATGGAGCAGACGCCCCTGGCACCGGTACTCTTGCCTTCCCTGGTTATTTCACGTAGCCTATTACATATTAAACTGGAAGAACGGCCAGCGAGTCCCTACAGTAATGCAGAACAAAGCACACATGTGTTTTCTTCCACGTATGAAATGGATTCTTGTATAAAATTTACTGCCAAAATAGTTAAATCGGCAGATAATATGAACCACATAAGCAGAATAAAGCCAAGGTGAACTGAACAGTTTTGCTCTCCTTGGACTGTATCATACATACTTGAAAGATAAGGTCATACATGACTGTATCTGATATAGCTATACATTAAATATCAACACAACAGAACATCTTCCTGTCTAAGTAAATGGATATATGTCATATCTGATATTTCTGCTACTTGCCATGCAGTGCGTCCAGAAAGTATTCACAGTGTGTCACTGTTCCATGTGTTGTCATGGAAGACTCATGAAAACATGTTAGTTGTGCTTATTCCAAAATGGACTAAATTGTACATGACATCTCTGATAATGACAAAGTGAAACAGCTTGCTTGAAATTCTTGCAAATCTACTAAAACAAGGTATAACTTGTAGATGAGTATTCACAGCCTTTGCCATGACACACAGAGTCAAGTTCAAGTGCATCCTGTTTCAACTGATCGACTGTTTTCATAGCTGATTGGAGCCCACCTGTGGTAAATTCACCACTCATCACCTGGCCAGTACCATCCCGACAGTGGAGCATGTGGTGGCAGCATCATGCTGGGGATGTTTGTACATGTGCAGCAGTGTACAGAGACATCCTTTATGCTGACCTGCTCCAGAGCGCTCTGGGCCTCAGACTGGGATGAAGGTTCATCTTCCAACAGGACAACAACCCTAAGCACACATCCAAGATAACAAACATAACTGATCCCCATCCAGCCTGATGGAGCTTGGGGTCTGCAAAAAAGAATAAGAGAACTGCCCAAAAATAGTGTGCAGAGCTTAAACTCAAAAGACTTGAGGCTGTAATTGCAGCCAAAGGTGCTTCAACAAAGTCCTGAGCAAAGGCTTTGAGTACTTATGTACATGTATGCATTTATAGACTGCATCTGTCTGTGAAGGTTCTCAATATCCAGCTCATCATAGTCTAAGGAGCTGGAAAGAAAAGCGTCTGGACTTCTTTAAGTTTCTTGAAGACGTTTCATCTGAGAAGCTTTTCAGTTCTAGGGTCAAATGGTGGAGAGTCCCAGATTTTAAGCCCTATGGGAGTGCCCCCCCCCCAAGAGGGTCATGGACCCCTATTAATCCTTTACGTAATCACATGAGCCAAGGTGTGAAAACGGGTGTGGGTCACAATCAGCCAAGGTTTTGGGTGAACCCACTGTGAAAACTAGCCCCACCTGTCATGTGACTTACTGAGGTCAGATGACCAAGGATGTGAGTGGGCGTTAGGGCGTCTGGAAAGGATCTCAAAACTGGATTATGGATGGCAGACAGTTGGTGTCGTAAGGCACCGCCTCTGTCCAAAGGAATTAGAGGGCATTCGGGCATCTAGAGGACCCCTTGTCCATGGTCACATTTAATTGGGACAAATCAGAGCATTTATAGTGAAATAACCTGAGTTCAGGTCTAGCACCTCCTGTTTAACATAGCTTTTTCCAATTGACATTAATAACTTTATGCAAGAATTTATTCATGTGTAAGAGACCTTCGAGAAATTATTACTGTTGCTTTGTTTGTTGCACCTCTGGTAGGAGTATCTCAAGATTTTGTGAGTCTTCCCTATGGACTGTCTGTCACTGGTTCTTATGAATTTTTTTTTTTTTCTTTAAAACTTTTTTTTAAGTGCCCTCCAAATTTTTGTCTTCTAGTTCCTCATCTTCCTCTGTCATGTGTTGTTCATACAGTGAATATAGGAACATATTTTTTCCAAGGGAGGAATCCCTTCTTATTAAGGTTGTTTCTATGATGAGATTCATGTGAAAACAGAATAAACAAGAGGACAAAGATGTTAGATGCCTTATTAAGTTGGGCGAGTTTTCACGCATTTGTAGAGGCAGACCACACTTGACTCACTCTCACTTTGTTTGACCCCGACAGGAAAAAATGCTGATCCTCTCAAGGTGGTCTTTCGGAGGTGCACCCTCTACAGAAAGGCAGAAGAAAACTCCCCACCAGAGCGGATGGGTCCGTGGACATCATAAAGATGGTGGTGGCTACACTAAGGAGATGCCAAATACGTCACTGGTAAAATTTCAACATTTTTTACATCCATCCATCCATTCGCTTCCGCTCTCCTTTCAGGTCGCGGGGGCGCTGGAGCCTATCCCAGCTGTCATAGGGCGAGAGGCAGGGTACACCCTGGACAGGTCGCCAGTCTGTCGCAGGGCCAACACACAGGGACAGACAACCATTCACACTCACATTTACTCGCACATTCACACTAGTGACAATTTGGATTATCCAATTAACCTATCCCCATTTTTTACATATTAAGTTTAATTCAGAGCATAGACAGTCATGAAAGAAATGAATTGTAAGGTATTCATGAACAGAGACCGTCCAGTGATGACTTCCATCTCCATCTTTACCTTCCTCACTCAGCTGGAGCTTTTGCAAGGGCCAGGGCTGCAGAGTGAGCGCCATGTTGAAAGCTGTCAGAAAGACCACAAGCAGCAGCCGTGTGTTTGAAGCTCTGCCCAAACACATGAGGAGACGAGCCATGAGCCACAACACCAAGCGGCTTCCTCACAGACTGAGAGAGGTGGCCAACAGAATGGTAAATTTCTGGACGTATTTTATTTTCAGCACTTGAATGTCTCACAAACACCTCCATACCTTGTTTTATATACAAAGTCCTCCACTCTGAGTACCTGGGACATGTCCACTCACTTGTCCTTCCTCTGTCAGCGGAGAAGGGCCTCCAGGCTGGCTCCAAAAGAAGAAGGAGCAAGCAAAGAGCAAGAGCCGCAAGGCCCGGCGGCGTCACGGAAACCTGCTGCTGGAGTTCAATCGCCGTCAGCGGAAGAACATTTGGCTAGAAACGCACATTTGGCACGCCAAGCGCTTCCACATGGTTAAAAAGTGGGGTACTGCTCGGGGATAGGCCCACATACAAATGCTACCGGGCTTGCTACAGAGCAATGAGCAGCCACTGCCTCCTACAGGTAACCACCTGCTGTTCACACAGACTCTGTGAATAATTTGTTTTTACGTACTGTAATGTCGCTGTCTGGAACATCAGCTTACATTTTGCATTATCTCTGCTCAGGATCTCTCTTATTACTGCTGCATAGAGCTGCAGGGGGACGAAGACAAGCTTCTAGCTGCTCTTTCACAGCTGACCAGCAAGGAAGCAGGTAAGAATAATTGAGGTTTTCCGTTGGGCTTCTCTCTTGCCTTCAGACAATATTCTGATGGCAAAAGAACCAGACGGGTTTTATCAGCAACTCCTGCTAACTACACATTTAGTTTAAGTAGTGTAGTTATATGCCTTTTCTTTCTTTTCTAGGCCTACGTTTGCTGCAGCACTGTGTCTGTCAGGAAGGAGACAGGGCAGTGTCATGGTGTACAGAGCTGGACGGTACCCTCACAGCCCCTGGGGCCCGTCACCTTCCTCTGGAGACCCCGCACACAGGGCTCAGTGCACAGGCAGCTGTGGATCTGGGCTCATCCCACTCTTAAGCAGGTGTGACTGGTTTTAGAGGTCTGCTGGTTGTAAATTATTTTATGGTTGGCCTTTTGAATTTTTACTTGATATTATTACATTTACAAATGACTCCAGCAGGACTGTTATTCCATATACGGTATCCTCCTTCCAGGATCTTCTGCCTGAATTACAAACTGTGTGTCAGTGTTGTGAGCTGTATTACCTCCGGCTGCACCAGTAGAGGTTAATCCACCTTGGAGGCAGAGTCAGAGCCTGAAAACACACCTGAGGCCAAGCCGGTACCTGGAACCAAGAGAAAGCGTAGCTGTAAAGATGCCACTGGACCCCTGCAAAGAAGATCCTGGGTGATGGAACAAGATTACGCTCCACCCCAGTGAGCTGGAGGTCCAGCTCAAATGGAATAGTTATAAAGTTTGTGTCATTTCAGGAACAAACCGAAGCGTTGATTGAACGTTATTTAGGAGATTGGATTTTACTGTAGATGTTGATGATTGTTTCATTCACTTTATTCTTTGTGTGTGTGCGTGCAGCGATCTCACAATGGAGATTGTACGCTATCGGCTGATTGGACCACAGTCCCATTCGGTGTTGGTAGACACTTTAGAAGCTGCTACAGGCTGTGATGTAAGAACTGTACTATGTTATTAACTTGAATTGTTCCCAAAAGGCGTTTTTCATTACACTTCATGCTTGAAT